GAAACATCGACACAGTAAGTATTGATAGGCTAAAGCCGGCTTATCTAGATCATGAACCACCATACGTGTTGTTAGATCGTTTAACTGACAAATCCATTACGGAATCGAAATGTAAAGATGATAAATCTTTACAAATGACTAAAACGGTTCGCTGGGCACATCCGATCAGTCAGTCAAGGATGTTGACAGTTTCGGCTGCAGGATAAAATCTAATCACGTAGCTAATCAGACCCTGCATTTACTTAAAAAAATTTTTTCCCTCATTCCGCCTCACCTACAACTCCCCAGACCTTTTACCTTTGATATATAAGTGTTATGTTAATAATTTTTTTAAAAAAATACTGGACACATAAGCTAGGTATTCCGCAACGATGGCTGAGGATTTTAATCAAACTCATACAACTAACACTGGCAAATACAAAGAATTCAAAAAGCAACCCAGAATACCAATCCGTTCTGGAGACCAAGCACTTACATGGAACCGAACAATTATCAATTACATTTATGTATTTCCATTTTGTATCTTATTATTTTATGCAGGCAGTGGAGCAGTTCTTCAGGTTTGCTTGATTTTCACCATTACCTTTGAAGTAGATTCTTCTTTACTTTTTACTTGAGGGCGACTCAAGAGGCAGGTGAGTAAACACCTGATAGCCGGTCTGAGCATGGAAAAATCGTACCTCACCAACATGGTGTTGGGTAGCCCGCTCGCGGCACTTCCTCAGATATTCTTATTCCACATTCTCACACTCTTTCTCTTGAAAGCACGCAGCAAACCGTCAGCGATAGTTGTAGAGAAGATCACATGCTACAAAATAAGATGACAAGCTAGTAAATGAAGGGACATCCATGCACTATCGTTGACAGCTGACAGCGTTAGTCGTCACTGATTATAAGTCAAATAGTGAGCGAGTTGATAATTTTCCCTTGGGATGAGAAATAGAACTAAGGTGTTTTCGATAGATAGGTTAATCGAACCGACGTTCCTATGGAAGTCGATTCTAGGGGGAAGCTAATGTAACAGCTTAGGTTGGTTGGTTAAGAGTCGACCCCAAACAACCAAGAATATGCCAAAACGGTATTGCTCAAGTATTCATTCACTTCCTTATTTTTTATAAGCGTTATATTCCCTATTATCTTATATTGAATGTTGAGAGCCTTTGTTTGTCTGAACAGGTAATCCCACGCTCCACTGTGACTGCGCAAAGATCGAAATAAAGACCTATTCACTACTTGTCTGGTTTCTTCTGTCAATAGCACGAGGGTTACCTATGGGCACCAACTTCAAAGTGTAAGGAGGTGCTGGGCCACAAACGGTGTCATCATGTGGAACAGATCTAAATGGAAATCCTGGATAAGATTCAGAAAAGGAAGAACAAGAAGACAGTATTTAACAAAGCCGAACAAGAGCAGAAAAAAGTCGAGGTATAAGATGAATACACAGAAACAAACAAATAAGTGAAATGGAGCATTAGAGCTGACAAGCAGAAATATGTGGAAGACATGGCAATGACTGAAGAAAAACTGCAAAAGAAGGAAATATGAAACAACTATACGATATAACAAAGAGACTAGCAAAGAACCATAGTGGACCAGAGAAACTGGTCAAGAAGAATCACTTAGATGCATGAGCAGAGGAACAGATGAGTGGAGCACTCCGTAAAAACCTTGGGATGGATGAGACGCTAGGCCCAGGTCAACTTTGTCTCTACCACAACTTTGTTCATGGCTGATATTTAAGTTCGAAATGCCAGTGGTTGGTTGAGTGTCAGTTGGTCTGGATGAGTTCGTAGTATTCGCATAGTTATGTGGCCTGTTGACGTCTAAAATCCAGAAACATTGTTTAAAACCATTTCGAGTACTCTTCGGTGCAAACATCGCATTCTCTTTTGCGTAATTGTTTATCGTAAAGTTGTCATTTTGCACGCCTCTCCAAAAATTGTATAACATCCCAAAAATAACATAACATTGCTAGGCACGATGATACGCAATTCAAGGGACTATTTATTTACATCATCAGGGAAATATCTAGTGCAATCGGTCAAGCCTCCAGTTTCTGAGGTGTTTAGGATAATATAAGTGGACTGTCTTGAAGACTGATGGTAAACAAACTTCTCTTGTTCCTAAATAATTTTCAGGAGATAGTTGATGAATTTCCACGCGTAAGATAAGTTTGGTCCCGTTGCTTCGTAGACTTCATAATCACTGTATAAAAGTGGAGAGATAGCAGATTGTTGCGAATCCATACTCTACATGTAATATATCAGTTCCTTTGATAATGTGCGGGTCCGGGCTCATTCATGACATCAGTCCGAATCACCAATAAAACGTGTATCATCACGTGCTTCCGATGTGGCCGAGGGTTTTCCCTGTCTAAATATTTCTCCGCCGTTAGCAAACAACGACCTTGCGTTTTATTATTTATGTTTGGTTCTCAAGACAGTATGCGATCAGGTTGGAACTCACCTAGGTATGTGAGGAGCAAACATAATAGCTATAAAGTAATGTGCTGCAACAACAAAGTGGTCAGTAAACAGCTAAACGATTGAAGAAGCATGGTCCTCATTTAAAGGCACACTTTACTTGCCTACGTCTCCGCCTATACCATGCTTGGTACCACGTGGATGTTGTAACTGCCCCCCATGAATGACTAAACATATTGAAAAACTTCTCTGACTCAGGAAATAGCATTGTAGTATGTGTTTGATGCCCCTAGGTGACCCTTGTGTTATTGATAAAAGAAACTAGACAAATAGCGAATAGATCTTTATTTAGATCTTCGCGCAATCACAGTGGAGCGTGGGATTATTTGTTAAGACAAACAAAGCCTCTCAACATTCAATTTAAGATAATAGGAAATATAACGCCTATACAAAATAAAGTGAATTAATACTTGAACTATATCGTTTTGACATATGCTTAGTTGTTTGAGGTGAACTGTCAACCAACCAAACGAAACTGTTACATGTATACCTACAGATTTTGAACAGTACCGATCCTTTCATTATAAGGCTGCGAACGTTTACAAGGAATCGATAAGTAGGACTAGACTTTCATGTAAAAACAATTGGCAAGTGTTGTGAGAATAGTCTGAAAACGTAGATCTCGTATGCAGAGAGACGAACTCAGAGGAGCAGTGTGATCATGCCACTTTTAGTATAAGAAAACCCATTAGCATTGTCAAGATGTAATGTCCCAAAAGCTGGAACTTCGCAACAATATTTTCGGAAATTATTTTCTACCGATGATTGTGAAAGACGGATAATTATTTGTGATAATAGCAGCATGTTAGCGAATTCCGTGTTATTGATAAGGGAGTTGTCTTACTACCACTTCAACATCCCAAACCAAATGATTTCAGGGGTTTTGACGATATTTATCCTACAATCATGAAAGCTGAACCTCTGAATAAACTGGATGATATATCTTTGAAGCAGTCTAACTTGTAAGGAGACTAGAAATATACATTTATCAGCCTGGTTTATAAAGCGACGAGTAGGGACTCAGTCAGTAACTATCGACTTGTTAGTCTAACTAGTGTAGTTGTCAAACTAATGGCAAAGATTATTCGGGTGGTTATTTTAAATTATGTGGAAGGAAATGACCTTTACGACAAGGACGTACATGGTTTCGGGAAAGGTTTTTGAAGCTTGTGGGGGTGATGTTTGAAATATTCTATCCGACTGAACCTGGATCATGTGAATAAGATGATGACCCCTTGTTTCAAACGTCAAGGGGGATACGCTGAAGCAAGATGCATGGTGAGGGAATAAAGTGATGAATCTTTTTTTATCAGTCGTATGAAGACTAGCAGAGAGGCCTCGACATATCATCCCACCTGTGAAGGGTAGACTGAATATCTAGATATTTTATTCTGGATGATGGCACTGATATTGGTATATACTACATTTTTCATTCAAATATTAATGATATTTCTATAAAAATCAAAAACCAAGATCACATTTAAATTCAGATTTGTGTAGTAAAGACAAAAGACATACGTCATATGTTAGTCCTTCTCTAGTATGCTTCTGTGAGTGTCTAGTCTTTTGAATGAGTCAATTGAAGGAGCACACAACAGTGCTTCAAGAAACAGGTCCCAAGTATTGATGAATCGGTGTGAAGATCTGTATACCAAGGGTATTTTATTCGTTCTCGACTTTTCCACTCGCATGATATGTCCTCTGAGATGTCCTCACCTAGTGAGACGAAAAAGAGAGAATAAGTTGGGTCCAAAATCATTTCTCAGTATTCTGTACATCAAAATGAGATCTCCCCTTAGTCTGCGATAGACCAGAGTAATGAGTTCTAGCATTTCAAGCTGCTCTTTGTTTGGTAGATCCCGGTGTTCTGGAATTGCACAGATATCCGCCCTCTATGTTTTTTCCAGGATATCCGATTCACCTTTTAATCAGAGGCTTGCAGCCTGAACACAATTCTTAGTTCTCACTTAGGTTTTGTATACTGTGGTGAACATGGGAGTATCTAACTAAGTGGATGTTCGTATAAAAGCTCGGATGGTTTTTAACCCCTCAGCTACGATCTCTCGGCAATGGGCCGTCGTCCTAAGGTTATGACTCACTGTCACCCCTAGATCCTTACGAGACCGGACCACGGGTACTGGCAATTCCCCTGTGCTGTAACTAATAATCATTGTCTCCAAAGTGCATGTAGATACACTTTCCCGCGTTGGTATGCATCAGACACTCTCTGGACCAATTGATCATATTATTTAAGTTTGCTTGATGAGCACATGCATCTGCGCCTAAAGTTATCACTCGCCAGATTTTTACATCATCAGCGTATAATAACATTGAGGACTGTACTATACTTGAGAGATAATTTCAGACAGTATAAAAACTAAAGCGAGACAGACCCTTTTAAGCACTTTAAATCGCATGGATTAACACATTTGACATTCTACTACAGATTGGGGAAGCAATTTGAACGTGATTCGTGCCGGCCTTGAAGGTTTTGGCGCTCATTTAACCCTCATACCAATGTCTAAGAAGAAAGGCGATGTGCCAAAAAAAGCTGTTTTGCTTGGGAGAATCGGTACTAATCTAAAATGCGGTGTAGTTGGCCTCCCGAACGTTGGGTTGGTCGCTTTAAAATTTCTAATGTAGTCTAGAAAATCTACATTCTTCAATATTCTCACTAAAAGTCAAGTCCCCGCCGAGAATTTTCCATTTTGCACTATTAATCCTAATGAAAGTAAGTTTATTCACATGAATAAGCCAATTAAAGTATTTAAGGTCGTGTTGCAGTTCCAGATGAAAGATTCGATTGGCTTTGTGAATATCACCAACCTGTTAGGTGAGTTTCTTGTCTTACAATTGACATGATAAAATACAATATCCAGTTTAAAAATGTTCAAAGTGCACGTAGTCACTTTACTCGTTTGCTATTGTTGTTGTACATCCACTGCTTGACTCTGTGATGCATACATGGAGCGAATTAGTTCCTGTCTTCTTTCCACTGTCAACCCTTAAAATATTCTCTTTGAGTTATTTGGTTTCTGCACTTACGGCAAGACACAGCTTACTTTTCAAGTGTCTTGTGACTAATTTTTTGGTTTTTAACTTCTGGCTACGTAGTAAAACCAAGCCGAAGGAGCACACTTTTTGACTCATTAGTAAGTGGAAATCATTCAAGCCTTGTCTGGACCAAAAGTTTCGTGTAAATTAAAGGGTTGAAATCATTTGAAAGGCTGATTGTATTCCCAGACTACTCAGTAATGGACTGTTGTTAGGGTCAGAGTTAAATTTACAGGTTACTCCAACTTCGTGGGGCTAAATTTAAAGATTCAGTAACATTATCAAAGAAAAATAAGATAGTTCAAGAGATCTGGACGTAATCTCTCAGCATTATATCGTTCACACCCTTTGCAACAACCACCTCTTCATCGATCCAACTATGCCATATTGTCTGCATATATAATTAAAAACCAGTTAATTAGTTAATTATTTATTTGAACACAAATATTGGTACAAAGGGGCACCGAATACATATGCGCCACCCAAGTCACTTGATCTGTATGTGGGCTGTGATACCGCCTGTGTACCTAAACCAAAGCAGGTGGTTTTCTTAGGGGGCCACACCCGGAGCCTTCGACCCAAACGTCTGACCCACAAGGCAGTGGGGCAACATCAGGAGATACAGTCTCATAGTAGCCATTGACGAACTATAGGTTCATACACCATTTGTTCCCTCAGGATCCTGGAGACCGTGTGCTGTGAATCACTGGTTCGGAATGAGGGTTTTCCAACAACCCTTATTAAGATCTTCCATATCCACCAACCCGATTAAGGCGGTGGATATTCGCTTTTCGTCCTCTTAATTTCGTAAACAATAGTGAGTAGGACTTCCCTGGTAGTGGCTGTATACGCGTGGTCATGCAAAAGCATTTGGAAAGGGAAATATAACTCTCCCTACCCCAGGCCATGCCATGGCATTCGGGAGCAAAACCCATTTAAGGATCATTTGCAACTACTCAATGATTCTCAAGCATCTTTGTCTGCACTCAAAAGAGCGCAAAAATTCATATAGAGTATTAGCACTCAATTCAGAGATATGATCATGAAGTCCATGATAAGAAAAGATTTCAGTGTTAATAATGCCTAGAATTGGCTTATATATGTAGGCTAGGAATATATCTACAGTTGAAGAACATAAGGAAGTCATAACAACTATCAGCCAACATCGAAGTCACAATCTTCAATGCGAACGTCAGTACAGTTCTACTGTATAGAGCTGAAATGTGGAGAACCACTATAACCACCATCAAAATGATACAAGTGTTTATAAACAATGGTCTACGAGATACTGAATGTCCTTTGGCTGGATACCATCAACAACAGCCTACTATGGGAGAGAACAAACCAGCTTTCAGCTGAATAGGAAATCAGGAGAAAGTTTGGAGGTGGATAGGACATACACTATAAAAATCCCCAAACTACATCACGAAGCAAGCCCTAACTTGAAATCTGAAATACAAAAGGAAGAGAAGAAGACTAAAGGAGTGCTATGTCGGGAATTGGAAGCAGACATCAAAAGAGTGAATGTCAACTGTTAAGGATCATCCAGGACAGTGCTAGGTGGAGAATACTGGTGAGCGGCCTATGCTCCTCTATGAGGGGTAACAGGCGTAAGTAATAAAATATCCAGTTATTTGTTAAAACTGGTAAGTCGAGTTATTGATATGTGTGCACAATTGACGAGATGTCAATCTTACAGTCGAAAGGCTTATTGTTGTGCGCTGAATTCACTTAATTTATGACCGTAATGCGTAGACTATTATGATAAAGGACATGGGTATGTTACATACCATGCAGTTATAATTAACAGAAGATATTATATAAATGCGCATCGGCACAATAACACCACATTAGCTTAATGTGTTATCCAACCAATTATCACAAATATACGGGGACCAACCAGGTAGTTTCCGGTTAAAAATTGTTCTATCAGTAGTTAGTGACTCCATGAACTGCTATCACCTCTTACTCAAACTGTTCTTGACTTTCTTCCACTTTTTACGACAGTTACCATTGCGCGTAGTTGTATATGCATACACATCTTGAGATATCAGTCATCTCATCAATCGGTTTGTTTTCATCAATAAGATGATATTATTATTGGAATACAATGGAGTTAAATAAAACAGATCGAAGCTTATAGTTAGAATAGTTTGCTAAACTAAATCTTAAAACAAATTTCATTAATTCACACATTCATCAACACCAGTGGATATTTGTCTTCTTTACATAGTTGTCTACTCATAAACACCTTTCAATTTAGCCAGTTTTAATCAGATAATTTTCATTTTGGTATAATTTAGTCGAGTACCAGCTTACTTAAATGTTGTTGATATCGCTGGTCTAGTTAAAGGCGCACATGAAGGACAAGGTTTGGGAAATGCATTTCTTTCGCATATCCGCAGTGTTGATGCAATTTTCCATATGTTAAGTAAGTAAATTTAAATTATAAATTATTGATTTACTTTTGAAACTATTCTCAAAATATACGATAAGAATTTATCTAGATATTTCCTAATATCTGTGGTTTGTATATCTTTTTTTATAAAGTAAAGTAGTATACTTCTGGTTAACTTTGTCAGGTTTTATCAGATTTCACTTTTTTAATGACATCTTATTCTCATGTCGTGATAAAAATGCTAAATTGTTAATGATTTAAACCTATGGAGTGATTAACTAATATCGTTTCAAATTACAGGAAATTTAGTTAGTGTTTAATGATTTTTCCTAGCCATTTTATGGAGATCTTTATTCAAATGTTAGAGTCCACCACTGCAGCATAGTAGTTCTCGTTATTCTGGCTTGTAAACAGTACATGTAAGTGGTATCTGACCGTCTAAGTATGCCTATATGTAGTTGTAACTTCAATAAGAAGTCAGATATGGTTTCTAAATAATCTTATCAATTTTTATAGGTTATAACTAGTGGACTGCATTTTATACATATTAAACAGAATATCAGAATCACGAAAACATGTTGCATAAAAATATGTGTAAATAGTAATTAGGATCATCGGATGATAAGGTCAACATTGCTAAATTTGTTTGTAGTAACATCCTAAAACATAGTTTTTTTCCTGACTCTAGGTTTATGTTAGTGCTAAGGATTACAAATCAAAGTGCTCGACGTATAAGTGTTTGAAAGTTCATTTCGTATTTTGAGTCGTGAACATTTACAAATGCATATTGACTTCAGTTCCTTAATAGGGACAGTTTTCAAAGGTGGAATTTGATAATGTATAAGTATATACCCATTTCCTAGAAGATATACAAGAGCATATGTAATTACGTTACATTAAATTAACTTACATCGTACTTTTGATCAATTTCAAACACCAACTCCATTCATTTTAAAGACCCTGTATCCTTAGTTAACAGCCTTCTACAATGCTAATATTTGTAATTCAAAAGGTCACAGCTTATTTCTTAGCTTTCATTTTTTTACTTAAGATCGTTTTACCATTTTTTTTAGAGACATCCCAATACTTTAGGCCTAATTTTAATATTGACAACTGGAATTATATTGTATGAACAACACTTCAAAGAAATTATTGGTTGAATACTTGTAATCGTTTGTGTAATGTCATCTAGATGACTTTGTTTCAGCCTGATATATAACTTGTTAGTTAATCAGACACTCATGAGTTTAAGAATTTCTGTTGCTCAATACGATTCTCACCCAACGTCATTGATCGAGCCAAAAAATAGTTCGAAATAACAACGTAAAACTATACTTTAGTTCAAAATTTCAAATTATCATATCACAGTGACACATAAATACTAATGATATATAAGTAGGAGAACATAAATGTAATGTATTTATATGTTTAAACTTTCAAGGAAATTGAAAGGAATGCACCCACGTTGTTTTTATTAATTAATTAATTTATTTAAACGCATAAACATTTTTGTACAAGGAGGCATCAATACATTTGCGCCACATAAATCATTCGATTTGTGCGAGGGCTGGGATACTGCCCGGGTGCCGAAGCAGGTGGTTTTCTTAGGGGGCCACACCCGGAGTCAGTCAGTCAGTAACAACGTAGAACTTCGTACGTACGTACATCAGTTCGAGTTGCCACACCACATTAGCACAGAGATTCAGTGGTCGATTCAAATCCCGTAGTGGTAGAGGCAATAAGAGTATAAGCAGTAATCGGGAAAACTAGTGTTTGGAGATGTTATTTAAAGAGTATAATACAGTGAAATAAATTTGGGAAGAGAAAAGAAGAGACAAGGAGGAATCAGGAGATTAGAATTTGGGAGAACACAAAAAGTGTATGCACCTGCGCCATTGCAAACGATTTTGAGCCATGTCATTCAGGGTCTCTAACCATCGGTTGCTATCATCTCGCGGTCCCCAACCAGGTAGTCTACACCTACCAACATGACTCAGTCCACTTGTCAGTGACTTCATGAACTTGTGCCATGTTTTGGTCTGGGGAGCCTTCGACCTGAAGGTCTGATCCACAAGGCAGTGGAGCAACGTAAGGACATGCAGTCCTATGGTAGCCGGTGACCAACGATTGGTCCATACATCATTTGTTCTCGCAGGATACTGGAGCTCATATGCACCATTGGTTTGAGATCCGTCCTCTCAATTTCGTAAACACAACCCCCGGTGAGAGAAGGTAGTGAGTAATACTTCCCTGACAGGCTGTATACGCGTGGCCGTGTGAGAGCATTTCGGGAGGGAGGGCGGACCCACCCCACTCTCGGTCATACGAGGGCATTTGGGGGCACGTTTTTTTTATAGATTGAAATTACTAGCTAACGATATTTCGAACCAATCTCCAGTAATTTGGTAGTAAGTTTTCGATCTTTGTCTTTTATTCTACCTCTCAATGTCAGCTAGATTTGACTTGTCCAAAAATTTAATTATTATTTAGTATACACAATGATCATTTCATAAGCTTTCAAAAATCTTAATACATTCTTTAAAAAAAGGATTATTTGAAAATGAAGACATCACTCATATTGAAGGTGATATTGATCCTGTACGTGATTTGGATATCATTGATGAAGAATTACGTCTCAAAGATATTGAATATGTTACTAAAGAGTGGGAGAAATGTGAAAAGTAGTTATTCGAGGCAATGATAAAAAACAAATGCCTGCTTATGAGTGTCTTACAAAAGTTAAAAATATGTTAGTCAATGATAAACGAAATGTTCGTTTCGGTGATTGGACTCCAACTGAGGTAAGTTTGGTTGTGCTTTTGTCTAATTTTTTTAACACAACAAATTCAAATTTGTAAAAATTTCAACTTAATTGTTAAGCAGGATACTTGTGTATTTGGAGTGTTGTAAATTGTGATCTGTATCTACAAATTTATCGAGATACTTGTTTTTTGTGAACGATATACTTATATATAATTTAAACATAAACACTGGTACAAGGAGGCACCAAATAGATATGCGCTACATAAATCATTTGATTTATTTGAGGGCTGGGATACTGCCCGGGTACTCGAACCGAAGCAGGTGGTTTTCTTAGGGGTCACACCCAGAGCCTTCGATCTGAACGTCTGACCCACAAGGTAGTGGGGCAAAATTAGGAGATACAGTCTCATAGTAGCCATTGACTAACTATAGGTTCATACACCATTTGTTCCCTCAGGATCCTGGAGATCATGTGCTGTGCACCACTAGTTTGGAATGAGGGTTCTCCAACAACCCCTATTAAGACCCTAAAAATGCACACCTCGCCTTATCCCACGGATGCAGTCTCAGGCGGCAAGGTTTCAACAAGTACGGAGCTAACCCAAAAATTACTCATAAAAAGGTCGTGTGTGACCGACCTCGATCAGTTGTCCCTTGGGCACTGCGGTCACGCTTTCAGGTCACTAAGACCACCTCTAATCCGATTTCCTTTTCAGGTACCTATAGAAGAACCCTTCCACGGTGTGGGCAACCGGGAAGTGATAACCGCCCTCATACCTCTAACAACACTTAAGACCACTGTATTCATAATCAATCTCTCCCTTGTAGATCACATGGCATTAGGCATTACCCACCACCCAATGGTATTTGAGCAGAATGTTCAACAAATTGTAAAATTTCTTTAAATAGTTCGAACAATAATCAACCTTTCGACTATCTTGTCACCATGTTTCTGATTTTTCCCTCATCTAGGTGGAGATTCTTAATGAGCACTTATTTATCACATCGAAACCAGTGATTTATTTGGTTAATATGTCAGAGAAGGCATTTTTAAAGAAGAAAAGTAAATGGTTAGTTGGTATTAAATACTTTTCTATTTATATAGTATATTCCAACAGCCTATTCTGGAGATATTCCCAATTTATTAGTAACAGTTCCTCACAAGCACAGTCACTTTTAACTTGATCTTGTACAATTGTTATTTTCTACTTTATGGTGGGATTTGTTTGTATATAAACCCGGTAGATCTGAAATAGATGATTCGTATCATGGAGTCTGATATTAGCATTCTGGATTTAACAGGCAGGGCTAGGTGAAAAAAGACTAATCGGAACTTTAGATTACTCGTACAGGTTTATGCGTCATTAGTTTGCTTGTTAAAAGTCAGTGTATCTAAATTGGCAAATCATATTTCACGATATTGTTCAGCACAAGAACATAACACATTTCACAATAAGAATCTAGCATCTCGATTCGCTTAATAACTGCTGAGTAGTTAATAATAGACCAACTGTTTGAGCTTAATTAAAGAATGCAATGGTCAGTATTCTACTTTGTTAATAATAACATGATATTCAAAAGAGCTGTGTTTTATGAGTTTAACTAAAGAGAATAAAGGTATATTTTCTACAACAAAATCAGTCGACTTATTCACATGTATTTTATAACTTCTCATCAACGCTCACATACATTAGACTTAGATAATTATAAAAGTTGATAGCATTCAACTTGTATTTTATGGTTGGAGACTCTTGGTGACATGAATCAGAATCGATCACAACGGCGTAGGTGTATACACTCTCAGTCTTCCCCTAAACTAAGAGATTCAAATCGCTCCATATCTTTCTTTCTACCAACTAATTCTTTCTTCCTGTACTATATCCTTATATGGAGTTTTTTTAATATATATTAGCACCTCTGAATTAACTAATTTTATGAATCCAGTGTTCATCTTGTTGTGTTAATGACGTATGGCAACTTGGACCGACGCATATATGTGTCTGGTCCTACGTTGTAGTTGACTGACTTGTATTTCATAAATATAAAATATGTAAATGAATAAAATGTTTCGAATATTGTTCTATACAATTTTACATAGTTCAATTGTTAATATCTAGAATATTTTAAAAGAGTCTCAATAAATGAACAACAGAATACAGTTGATTTGCTGTTGTTGTTGTTCCTGTGGTTGTTACTGAATGATTTATCGTGTATGTTACCTATTTTTTATTACTTTTTTGCTTCTAATATCTTTGAGTATTTGATTCAAATTTCAATATAACAATCGAAGTTTATATGTGGATTATAAAACTGTTACTTATTAGATCAGTCAGTCAGTTAGCTACAACGTAGGACCAGACACATATGTACATCGGTCCAAGTTGCCATTACCTCATTAGCACAACAAGATGAACACCGGATTCATAAAAGTAGTTAATTCAGAGGTGCTAATATATATTAAAAAAACTCCATATAAGGATATAGTACAGGAAGAAAGAATTAGTTGGTAGAAAGAAAGATATGAAGCGATTTGAATCTCAGTTTAAGGGAAGACACCATTGTCGTCGATTCTGAGCCATATCACCCTGAGTCTCTAACCATTGGTTATGATAGTCACATGGACCCCAACCAAGTAATCTTCATCTACAAACATGGTTAAGATTAGAAGTTAGTGACTTTGTGGACTGATGCCACGTTTTGGTTTGGCCACCCCTAACTTTCTTTCAACCATCCCCAACACTAGTCAGCATTGCACATCGTGGTAATCGGTGTTCAGGCATACGTAATACGTGGCCCAACCATTTTAGTCGATGAAGATTCACAACCTCATCAACTGATTTACCATCATTCCCTAATACCCTGGTGTCTAATCTCACTATTACGTACCCGGCGATCCTAGCAGATAATTAGCTACCATTATTATACCTGATAAAATTTATTCGAATTTACTTACTAATTATAGATTTATGTGTCCTACCTTGGAAAGTACTTCTTTATACATAAAATAGCTAATGATATCATTTGGCTATCCAAATCAAGGTAATGGTGGGGGGTTCGAACCCAAAACGTAGTGGTTGATATTTGTGTTCATTGATCAACAGGCTATCGCTTTATACACATATATATGTACCCACATCAAACATATTTTTTATCTTTGCCAGATTTTATTTACATCTTTAAACTCGATATTTTTTGAAAAGTAATTCAAATTGGTATACGTCTTCAGTTAGTGGATTGCTTTTAAGCTGTATACAGATAGAAAACACTTCTTACTATACATATTTAAAGAATATTTGTTCTGTGTAGGTGTTATAACTTGTGGCATGTGTGCCCTGTTAATGTATGTGTAATGATACCGCCAATTAGAGAGCAGTGAATTATCGATCGGACCAAAGACGCGTAAAACCTGTACTAGTAGTCTAGAGTACTTATCGGTCCTGATTACTGCCAAGCCCAACCTGTTAAGTCCAGAACACCAATCTCAGCTTCTGCGATATGAATCATTTATTTCAAACATACTGGGTTTATATACCAACCAGACAGACCTCATCGTACCATAAGATAGGAAACAACATGTGTACAAGATTTAGCCAAATGTGGCTGTGAATGTGGGAGATAGTAATTAATAGTCAGGACATAATTCAAGAATGGTAAATCGTATAATAATAGTTCACAGGTCAAGATAAAGCTCACAATAAGAGGGATATGAAGATCAATAGTTTAGTTATGTAACAATTATACGATAAAAATATATGTATAGTACTTGTCAATAAATGAATCCCAAAAGTTACCATTCATTATACTTATCGGGACATAACAGTGGGCTTAAATAAATGACCGTATGTATAGTATAGCTCAAGTTGTTTAGTTTTAATTATTAACTCTCAGTTCTCTCTTAAAATAATAACTTCGGTGACATTTTCGTAATTCATAGTGTTTTGTCGCAATCGCTTTTACTTTGCTAACTTTATGTGCCTCAAGGTTATTGTATGTTGCTTTATAAACAAAGTTGCTTCTTTTACATTTTTGACTTCTGTTTCTAATATAACGCTCTCTTAAAAGTTAATAATCACATTGAAATGTCATGTATCAGACATTCGGTCTATCTGAGTTTACTTGCGTTCTCGTCCGTTGCTCGTAAATAAAATTTACTGTCCACCAGCCGAAAACCCCATAGTCGTTTTCACCAGGTCTTAACACCATATTAATATTAAAAGTTTTGCCAACTTGGAAGTGTGACGACAGATATAAAAGGAATACTATGATAAATAATAGGTGGCAATTTTGGTCGCGTTAACCTGAACCCCTCCCATTGGAAATCCTTGGGCCAAGTTTAAATATGATCATTTTAATGCTGATATTTTCTGTTTCTTTTTTGGAATGATAGCGTCACTGGCGATGTTGTTTATTTGTAGAGAACATTGCACTTCATTCTAGTCGTATGTCTTTAATCGTACAGCTCTACAACCAACCTGTCGATCAGAGTAGGATCTCACGATAAAAGTATATAAGTCAAATAGCTGAACTGGTTAGTCACAAAAGACTAACGTGTTTACTTATGATAAAGTAACAAATACAGATGTGGGGGTTATTCTATCTCTTGATATCCGGGTATGAAATTAATAATACAGTTACTAGCTGATTGTATTATTTACTGGTTATTATTGATCGGTGATTCTTTTAACAAACTGAACTGTTATCCTTTTTGTAGTGTTTTTTAATCTGTGTCGATTGACATATTGACTTTATGCTCCTCTTTAACGCAAAGTATAAACTAGTGATTTCCTGTGAAAGGATTATTAATTTTATGAGTGATATGCTATCCTGTCTATTATAATGACTTTTTCTTTTCAACAGGCTACCAAAAATCAAGGAATGGGTTGATGAACATGATTCCGGTGCAGCGATTATTCCTTTCTCTGCTGATCTTGAACAAAAACTCAGTGAAATGTCACCAGAAGAAGCTGGGGCTTATATGAAAGAAAATGAATTCACTACCATGTTGCCAAAAATTATTCGTATCGGTTATCAAACATTACAATTACAATATTTCTTCACATGTGGTAAAGATGAAGTTAAAGCGTGGACTATACAGGTTTGTTATAGAAGAATTTTACCGGGGAAAAAAATCAGTTTTGCAGTTGATAGTATGTGTTTAAAACAGCAATTCAGTAATCATTGTTGTTATAGCACCGTAAAGTACCTTGTAGAACAGTTTGAAAGCAGTCAATGTAAAATTTGAAACCTTTGTATCGTCTTGATTGACATACATCAACAAAGCATATCTACAATTTCAAGTGAATTGTTACTTCTTTCGTCATCCAGTAATACGATCTCAGACATAACCCGTAACCTGTAGGATTGAAAAATATTTACACCCGCTGATCACTGAGTAGTACTAACAAATATAATGTTCGTTTTATTCTTAATGTTGATCAAATTGCAATGCAGTCATTATATTGAATAACTAGCTTACAAGTTGATCGATTGAATTCTACCATTAATAAATAGTAAACAACAAGTCATCGATCACTCTACTAGGTGATGTTTCTCAGTGGTTATGGCATTTAATTTTCAGTCACTAAGTTGTACGTTCGAGTGGTATCAGTAGTTTTTACATTTAGAGTATTACTTGAAACCAACCTACTTGGATGTATCTGCCTTGATCAAAACTTAGTTAAGGCAATGATTAGAAAAACTCTTAAAATTAGATTATTTGGGTTCTCTATTCATTTGTATTCTAACAAACCTTAGTGTGTCAAAGTGTAACCTTAACTTATTATTTCCTTATTATAAAGCTTTGAATGATTTTGTTTTGTTAAGCCGAAAATGTATTCGTTTCTGTTCACCTTAGTGTTAACAATAAGTTAAATCAAATAAATAATTGTCTTTATATTTTACTGTTCTAGAAAGGTTCAAAAGCTCCTCAAGCTGCTGGTCGAATACATACAGATATGGAAAAAGGTTTTATCATGGCTGAAGTTATGTCATATGAAGATTTCAAAGCAGAAGGTTCTGAAGCTGCTGTCAAAGTAACTATACATAGTGTTTTTTTTCAATTTTTTATTTATTTTAACACATGGATATTGGTACAAGGAGGCATCAAATATATATGCACCGCATAAATCTCATTTGATATGTGTGAGGGCTGTGATACCGCCCGGGTGCCCATACCGAAGCAGGTGGTTTCCTTAGGGGGCCACTCCTCGAGCCTTCGACCTGAAGGTCTGATCCACAAGGCAGTGGAGCATCGTAAGGAGATGCACTCCTATGGAAGCCGGTGACCAACAATTAGTTCATGCGCCATTTGTTCCTTCAGGATACTGAAGCCCATGTGCACCATTGGTTTTGGATCCGAATAAAACGCCGGACATTCGCTTTTCGCTCTCTCATTTTCATAAAGAAGACCCCTGGTGTGAGAAGGCAGTGAGTAGGACTTCCCTGGCAGAGGCTATATAGGCGTGACCATGTGAGAGCATTTCGTGAGGGAGAGCGGACTCTCGGCCATATTTAGGGCATTTGGGGGCCAAGTATTTATAGGTTTTGTATGATTGAATTTTCCGTCTAACGAACATGGTGTATGCTTTTTTGGTTAATCAATATGGGTTGAGTTACATTATTCGACCAAACTAATCAAAGTGAAAACAACTACTTTCATCTAGTTGCTAAAATTATGCGGTTTTATACAAAAAGAATATATACTGCCATTATCAAGTGGTGTAACAGAAAAGAATACACGAGATAAGATTAATTGTTCTGATTCAAATTGTATTCTAGACATTGATCTGATTTTCCATAGGTGGATAGAGAATTGGACTTGTGACCTACTGAATGAAATCCAAGTAGTAAAATCAATTAACAATCATCCATACATCTTATTATTTACTGGAATGGTAAATTTTCGTCAGTATATATATAAATCAGAAGTGTATATGATACTTTGCTAAACGCCATACAGACTTTAATTTTCGTCATATATTAGACCGTTTCATTATTGTTGTTCAGTTTTGCCTATTTGGTCAATCTGTTCTCTACTCTATTGTTTTATTAGGCTGCTGGCAAATACAAACAGAAAGGACGGGAATATATTGTTGAAGATGGGGATATTATATTGTTTAAATTCAATGCTGGTGCCGGTCTTCAAGCGAAGAAAAAATGATATTTGTTGTGTTATATAGGCCTAATTTATTTTCACTAACTTTATAAAATGAAATTTGATATTACCTTGGAGTTGCGTTAAATTTCGTCTGTATGGGATATATACATAGCTTTTAAATCTTACCACATTAGTTTATAAGTCATTAGGTTTGTTGCCATCGTTACGTGTTCGGCAATTGGATACACTAAAGTAGTTGATGACATGTCATCTTATCTAGCGCCCCCAAGTATTTCTAGGCTGACATTCGCTTCTCAACTGCCAGTGTAAAACTGTTAGGGTTACCAAGATGAGACGCTGAAAGTTGTATATGTGGCTGACTGCTCTCGAAATCGTTCACTAGATGTCTTGCAGATAAACGGTTCTTCCGTGTGAAAGCGTACTCATCTTTCATAATGTAGACACTAGCCAGAGATATTCAATTCTACTGTAGCTTGGATTGACGGGTAAATTGCGGGAGTAGTTGTGACGTAATGACAAAATGGTGATAGTGAAGTTTGTTTTTCTGTGACAGCGCCTTTTAATTATTTTTACGTTGTACATGCTAAGTTTATTTCCATCCCAGCCTAAAGTTTGGAGCGGTAGTTGGATACACGTCTAGAAAAACGAGAACAGTCATATATAGAGTACTCCTTTCGTCTGCTAATAACTCGAGTTGATACATAGTGCACATATGCGTGATTATAACTCACTACCTATAGTGGCATAAACAATCCTGATTCAATTAGAAACACTATGAATGAGTCCTTTCCCATGGTCGCATCCTCTCGTTCAAATTTAGATTTGTCTGCAATGATTTCAACTTGCTAAACATTATTAGAAGGATATTGGAGTAATACCCTTTAAAAAAGGTTTATATGCTTAGACATGCATGGCTGGCAGAAAAGAATGCACTTGCCAAATATTCACACTATTCCGAACTTCATGTTCTGTCACGACGTTGCTCTGACATACATTGTGGTCGGTGAAATGTTGCGTGACAATGATCATAAGACTTTACCATATCTTGCGAAATGTAATCTATCCGAAACGAAAACAGATTTTTCAATGTAGAGGCTGTATCTGCTGGGAGGAAAAAATGTCAAATCCTAACAAAGCACTCTGATTGGAGCAAATTTTTAATTAGTGACAAACGGAAACAAAGTACGTTCACTATTACCAATAAATATTTGGTGGACACGTTTCCCCTCACAAGAACTATTTTTAGGAAAATAACTCCTTGTATCAGCAAAAACCAAGGCAAAGCTACGAAAACATAAACGTGTTTGGAATTAATGGTCGGTATTGTCATGCATCAAACTGACGTTTACTTGTGCATGTGAAAAGTCGGTATGAAAGATATGAGCAACCATCAGTATGTAGCGGTAAATAAATCCCCAAAATAAATAGCTCTGTAAGTTTTGACGTTGGAAGCTGACCAGATTAGTTTTAGTGGACTCATCTAGCTGAAGGCAGTCGGTCATGCATCCGCAATCGCTAGCCAGATTAGATCAGGCAATTCCGATATATTGGTTATCGCCAAATACACTCTTCCGATCTCCTCGGCTCTGTCTTTTGATTTCTCTTGGTGGGTACGAATTATATTAGGTGTTGCTGGTAAAAGCGTTGTCAAACAGTGAATACCTGTGCCATCTTCAAGTATGTCCATTACTCACTTCTGTTTCCCATCAAGAAATACGTAAATAGAATGTAGATTATTAAATTTATCCTGCATAGCATGATAGATTAACATATGATGACCATAATGTCATCTGTAAACTACTAAAGGAATCTCTCGTGCATCAGATATTCGTATCAAAGAGAATAACCTCATCAACACTGGATTTTCCCTCACCGATTTCATTGCTCCCATTAAAACCCTTATGCAAATCGAGAGCGTTCTGGGAAGCAGATGAAATCTGACTGAATTTCTACGAAATGGCAGGACCAGATTTACAGGTGCTATTTTCCCCAAATGTGTACACTATATTTAGTATCTGACACATACATTCAAGCATGGAAGGTAAAATGTGTCAACCCTCAACAAAATTCAGGACCAAGAACTTAGTCCTGAACTACAGGCAGACTAATGTCACCACAGTCGTCTTACAGATATTGAAGAAATTGAAAAAAAGGTTGTTATCCGGACATATACTAAGAGAAGGTCTAGTTGACGTCTTGCAACATGGCTTCAGAAGAAGAAGGCTGTAAACTTAATATTTGTAAGATTTTCTAAGGTTTTCCACATCTGTGTCTAGAAGCAACCGGCAATCATGTAGTACATTGATATCAGTAAAGATTTGTGTAGTAGTGACAAAAGACCTACGGCATATGTTATTCCTTCTCTAGTATGCTTCTGTGAGTGTCCAGTATTCTTTGAATGAGTCAATTGAAGGTGCGCACAACACTGATTCAGGAAACAGGTTCCGAGAATCGATGAATCGGTGTGAAAACATGTATGCCAAGGGTATTTTATTCGTTCTTGACTTTTCCACTCGCACGCTGTGTCCTCTGAGATGTCCCCACCTAGTGAGACGAAAAAGAGAGAATAAGTTGGGTCCAAAATCATTTCTCAGTATTCTGTACATCAAATTAGATTTCCCTTAGTCTGCGATAGACCAGAGTAATGAGTTCTAGCATTTCAAGCTGCTCTTTGTTTGGTAAATCCCGGTGTGTTGGAATTGCACAGATAGCTGCCCTCTATGTTTTTTCCAGGATATCCGATTCACCTTTTAATCAGGGGCTTGCAGCCTGAACACAATTCTCAATCTTAGTTCTCACTAAGGTTTTGTATACTGTGGTGAACTTAAGATTATGACTCACCGTCATCCCAAGATCCTTATGAGGCCGGATCATGGGTACTGGCACTTCCCCTATGCTGTACCTACTAACCATTGTGCAGACACACTTTGCCGCGTTAATATGCATCAGCCACTCTGTAGACCAATTAATCATATTATTTAAGTCTGCTTGAAGAGCACATGCATCTGCGCCTCCAGTTATTACTCGCCAGACTTTTTCATCGTCAGTGTATAATAACACTAGGGACTGTACAATACTTGAATGTATAAAAATTAAAGGACGTAGGACAGAACCTTGATGTACTCCAGATGGATCACTTGAAATTTATTCTTACTTTCTCTTTAGGAATCCTTGGGCCATTTTAAGAGAGGTGCGACAATCGTAAAATTTCCTGACTTTAATAGCAGTATATTTGTAAGCACATTGTCAAATGCTTTGCTGAAATCTATGTAGACAACATCCACTTAGTTTCCGTTGTCTATCGCTTTTGTTCGCTGTCCCATTGCCATAGAGAGGTTTAAAGTGCATGATAGGGCCCTTCTGGAACAGTTTTTTTCTATTTAACAAGTTGTTGGTTTCCATAAAAGTCATTATGGCGCTTTCAACTTCTTAATATTTTAACTACAACACCGGTGAGGCTTACAGGTCTGTAGTTCGATGGAAGCTGTCTTGGTACTGTTTTATGTATGGGAGTGACGACTGCGTCCTTCCAGTCCATAGGTTACACACCTTGGTCAAGTGACATATTGAACATCACAATCAATAAAGCTGCGAGATGTGCAATATGTCTCAGGGTTTTGGGGTGTAGTTTACCCAGTTTTGTTGACCTTTACATGCCCAAGGTGCAAATAGCCTCAAGTACATCGTCTCAATCAAAGTCCACGGTAGGCCGGCGATTTGTTGTCTCTGTAGTTGGGTCTAGTTCTTCGTCTAGAATAGCTTACTGAGTGAAAACTAACCAAAAGTAGTTTGTCATAGCTTCTGCTTTTTCCTGATCTTCCTCTATCATTTCAGACCTACTCCCTTCTTTAGGTGGGTTAGGAATCCACTGACGAATCATTGTTCGGTAATTTATGTACGAGAATATTCTCTTAGGCTGCTTGAGTGCAGGTTGTGCTAACTGCATTTCATATTTACTCTGATCTCCCCGGATTTTAATTATACCATTGTTTCTTACCACCCTGTAACGTTCCATCGTACCTGCCGTTCCAAGACTGATGGCAACATTACAACATTTCTTCTTTTGTCTTAGTAAACGTCGAATATCCTGACCTATCCAGGAATGACCGTGCTTCGTTTTTGGTATTGTCCAGGGTATATATGGCTGAATCATCCGATTGTATAACTGCCTGGAACGAGTCACAGTTTTCAACCGATGCTGCAGAGTTGTTCGCCTCCATGTCTGCCTTCCAAATGTTAATACGGGCTGCGCAACTGCTTGACAGGCCATCCCAGACATAACCTTGAATAAGAAGATTGCATGATCGCTTCTCCATAGATATAAAAGAAATGTCATTTGACCCAAGTGATCACTGTGTTTGAAGACGCAGTCCAATAGGGAAGCGAGGCTACGTCAGCCATATCTGGTGGGAACTCTAATGTATTGGAATCAGGATATTTCAATTGAGGTTTCTAACAGTTTGCAATCGAAAGGTATTATCGATGACCCTACTTCCAAGTATACCAAGTTTATATATGATGCATTAAGTCCCATACTTTAAGGCTATTACTCGTATTACACCAGGACTTATGTCAGCTCAGGAAGAAGTCATCGACTGCACATTCTGGACTGTGATATACTACAATCAATTCAATATATTGTCGTCTACATTTCAGCTGGCAACGCGCCAGTTCACATTCCCCTGAGTCATAGGCCATTGTATTAACTGCTTCTATGGTTAAGGAACTTTGCGTGTACAGATAACCCTGCCTTCCATACGGTTTAATATATCAGCTCTACTGGATAAAAAATAAGTCAACTGATTCTCATTATCGAATAATTCTCACGTTAACCATGTTTCTCAGTTGGCGATAACATCCGGTTTTTCTATGCACACCATAGTCTTCAGATCCGCTATTTTATTTAGGAGGCTGCAGGCGTTTGTGTAGCACGACCTTAAAACTACGGAGAACTTTCCCTTACCACTCATAGTGCTTTGAGGTTCGTCTTGCTCTGAACGTTTACAATTTAAAAACCCTTAAACATAAGGTTTTTTCACCGT